ACTGATCAATTAGGAACATGTACTCACTGGCTAACTAGAGCAAATGTCAAGATGTGTTGTCGTCACGCGAAGGGAAAATTACAGAGAAGGGGGGGGGGCGACACCCCAGAAGGCCTATAAAGGGACAGCCCCGATATTTATGGATTGAGCTGCTTCCTGTACATGCTGAATGTATGTCAGATGGTTGCTCCCGGATTGCAATCTGTCAGAGAATAAACTGGTGACTTGCAACTACTCCTCGACTGTGCAGTGAATCTCTTCTCATCAACGGACCCGGCGGAGCTCAGACTCCAACAGTATGTTCTCACATACAGGGAATTTGTCTCCTGGTGCCATTGGCTCTCGTGCATGCAGCAGATACATACACAGTTTAGGCATGACATATGGATATGGGCTGATATTTCTGCCACTAAAACTCAATATGAATAGTGTATATTTGAATCTGCAGTTGTTGCATAAAAAAACTGAATCTGAATTTATTAGTTTGAATCTGAATTACAATTAACTTGAAACTGCATTTATCCTACCTGGAAAATGTCATGCTCTATACCAGGGGTGGGCAATCTTATCCGCAAAAACCTGTGTTCACTCGACTCCTGCTTCCCCGTTCCGTGCCTCTTGTCTTTTATAATGGAATAATATAGATTTACTGCGTTAGTCTGAAAGCGTGAGTGTCATGCCAGGTGCTTTAGGATTTCAGGACAAATCAGCCACTCTGTTAGGAACATTTCGGCTTTTTGGTTGCGGAGTTAGCTTTGCTGCTGCTATTAACACTAATGGCACATTAGCGCAAACAAAGGACTGTATACGCCGAACTACGTCTTGCTTGGTGGCCAAACGCGTTTGACGTTCATTGGCGTGGGAAACGGCGGTTCTAGTGTTAAACCACTACCGAAAAGACCACAAAAGCTGCGCCAGTTGAAATAGAAGCGCCCCGTCAGGTTTTAAATAATAACTTTCTGTTTTGGCTATCGGTCCGGGTCCGTATGGGACAGCTTCTCGGTCCGGACTCGGACCGCGGTCCGCCTATTAGTGACCTCTGGTCTAGATCGACCGACGTACAGTACAGCTTCTGTACACTACGTTTTGTAGTGCACTATGTAGTGGATGAAATTTACAGCTGAGAATTCGAAAAGCACTACAAAATTGCCGACTCACTATATAGTGAACCGGAACACGCCCCCCTCAGACGGAGTCGGGAAACCAGCGAAACTTGCGATTATTTGGTTAAATTAAAAGCAGTTGGACTCGACGGGAACCATAAAATTTTCCAAAGGACAAGTGGACCATGGATGTTTATCACGTCTTTCCTATCTTCCCAAAAGAAAAATCGCGATCTTTATAACACACAATTGCGAGTTTTTAAATGTACTGTCAAGAATATCCAGACTCGAAGATGCCTAAGGACTTATCTATTAGCACCATTTAAAAATCAGTATTGCATTAAACACACTGTTTTAAAACAGTAAAATTGCCATTTTGAAAACAGTGTTTTAAAAATATTAAAGCAGTGTCGGATATTTTCTTTTACATTGGCTTTTTATTTCTATTTTTATTATTACATTACTTTTAATTCCAGTCTTTTAACTTGTGTCTTCCTCAATTTATTTGTACTGTACGCCGGGACCCAATTAAATTAATATTTCTTTCCTATACGTTGCATAGTGTGTCGATGTATAGAAATGACAATTAAAGCTTTGAAACTAAATTATATGTACATGTTTTCGGCACCGGAGAAATACACAAAGCAAAGCCTGAAGGTATACAAAATCCTTGACTCTTGTTCATACTTCAAAGATTTGTTTACGAAATTAAAGTGACGAAGACACCAACGGATATTCTGGTTGTATGTGGAGTTGTGGACAGATATGTACAATAATTTTTATTTTATTACAACTTTTATTTGGTCAGAAATCACAACCACAAATCCACGTTTCAGAATCTGGATTCCAATTGTTTTTATGGATTGCATCGATACATTTTCTATTTTCTTTAGTTTTCGGCAGCCTGTAAAATATACGTCAGATTTCTTGATAAACCGATTGTACAATCAATCGCACACTACCTTTTCGCAGCAGTCGCGTCATGTGACGTCACCCGGTTCCACGGCTAATTTGGTCCGTCGGGTAAAACTGATAAGAAGCTAAACGGTTCCTAGACAGATATAAACAAAATATAAACTGCTTTCTGAAGTACTTGTTATTTTGATAAAGTACCAAAACGTAAAGAGTAGCACCTTTAAACATCCACGCTTGTCTTTTGCTACGTACCTGTCTAAGAAACCCTACACGTAAAAATACCCTGTGAAGGATTATTTACTTCGCTGGGCACCTCCCTGGAAAAGAAAAGAAATGGCGGCCAAGTTCTGCTTTACTAATGCTAATGAAGCCGGATCATCAGAGGGGAGCGGCATGTGCGAGTGGTTTTGACCGACTTGGGAGTCCGTGTGAAACAAGCACTTTTTCCAGATGTTCGCCGGTGCCGGAAGCGGTAGGTTGCGATGGCATAGTATCTGCGCGAGGCGCCATGCAGGGGGTGCAAGCGGAGCTTTGCTCGAGAATTATACCAATGTGCAATAATTAAATGGAGCTAGTCACACTATTTGTAAAATTACTTTCACATCACTCTCACATTCGGTGATTTTGTTATTTTGTTGTTGTTTGGGTGGTGGGTGGTGAAACAGTGCATTTAGGTGTTCTGGGTGACTGTAAGTTTTTAGTAATAAGTCGGTAAGAGCTAGGGTACGTTGTTTAACAGTGTGCCTCCTTTGGCCGTGGACAGCAGCTTTGGAATTCAGGCATGGATGCCTCGGAGCCGGTTTTGAATCCCAGTATCTGCGCTGAAAGTCAAGTGAACGGCGACGGTACGGGTTGGACGAATCTAACAGGATTAAAACAAACACATTAATATACAGGAACACGTGTATATTTATGTACTTTATGTCATAGCTGTATGCAGTGTATATGTATTTTGTGTACGTCAGAATTGGCGGAATAGCTGTTCACTTGGCACGTGGACATTGTATGTCATATGAACACAGTCTGTATATCGCTACTCTTCCATGCCAGCTGTTATACCTGACATCCCTTATAGGACAACATGGCATTACTGTGGACCCCAAGGAGCCACACTTAGCTGTGGGAGGTGCAGACAGATCGAGTCTTCCGGAGGGCTCACTTCTTTCCTTCCATCAATGTCCAGCCCCAGCTTTGATGGCTCAGGGGGGTGGTCCTGGGGAGGCAGGCTGGCCAGGCTGGCCAGGCTACAGGTGCCCGCTGTGCAAGCGCACCTTCAATCTGGCAGGAGCTCTGAAGCAGCACTTTCAGATGCACCATGGCGAGCCTGGGGAACCAGTGCTCTGCCCAGAGCCAGGGTGCTCATTCAGCAGCATGGACTGGTGCGCGTATCAGCGGCACCTGAGCATGGTGCATGCACTGCAGCCCGTGCTCTGTCCCCAGCGCTCCTGCCACCAGGCCTTCCATACGGAGACTGAAATGGAGCAGCACCGACAGGCGCACTTCCCTTTCCACTGTGCCCACTGCCCCTTTGTCACTACAAGTGCCAGACAGCTGAACGAGCACTGTTGCGAGCACTGGAGTCCATCAGGGGACTGGGAAGGTAACATGTGAATCCTGGTCCCCGTGCCCCTCTCGTGACTGCTCAGCAATGAAGATTTCCATTCCCAGTGGTTCATATGGTTACCATTTGAATAACACTATTCAATATTATGGTCGAATGTCTCTGGAGATCAGGGCTTAATGGACTCTTTTAGGTTTCAGCATAAACCTCCTGCTCTCTTTGACCTAGGAGAAAAGGGAGGAATGGAACCAGAGCAGCCTGAGAAGGAAGATGAGCCCCAGCAAAGGTCTAAAAGGGGCAGTGAAGTGCAGCCAATGGATCAGGCAGCTCACATGAACAAGTCCAAGGACCGCTGCTTTAAAAGTACTCATTGCTTAATGTTGCTCAGTGTTAGTTTTAGAGGGGCATACACTGTGACAGATGCAAATGTAAACTCAGCAATGTATAGACTATGTATGCTATGCTCTGTGAGAATTTGGGAAGGTTAGTAGTGAAATTTCAGAGTTGATCAGTGCCACCAGATATTGATTTTCAAGTTGTAATGAAGTCTCAATGCTTGTTGCATAAAACTGAATGTTTCCTGGGTTTGCCCACCCTGGAGAACATATGTTAGTCTCTGTAAGTTGGCCATTCTGAAACTGATCTTGCCCCCCGCCCCCATTCTTTGCCCAAGGTCATGTAGCCGAGGGCACGGAGCACCTCTACCGCACCCACATGTGCCCTGAGTGCCGCCGCTGCTTCAAAAAGCGCACACACCTCCTGGAGCACCTGCACCTACACTTCCCCGACCCTGGCCTGCAGTGTCCCACCTGTCGGCACCACTTCACCAGCAAGAGCAAGCTGCGCATCCACTTGTTGCGGGAGTCTGGCCAGAAGCCCCACCGCTGCCACCTGTGCACATACAGTGCCGTTGAGCGCAATTCCCTGCACCGCCACTTGGCCAGCGTCCATGGCGGGGAGGGCGGGGCAGCCCCTTCGGACGTCTACCCTTGCCCCACCTGCGGAGAGGTCTTTCTGCAGAGTCAGGCCCTCAAGGCCCACATGAAAGCACACAGGGCCCTGCCAGCGGGCCGGCAGCCCCTGGCCTGTTTCCAGGAGGGCTGCCCCTTCCGTGGTGCTGACAGGAGGGCGCTGCAGAGGCACGTGCGGGAGACACACGGTGTGGAGGCAGTGGAGTGCCGGTATCATACCTGTGGCGCCTTCTTTGGCAGCCGGGAGGACATGGAGGCTCATCGGCGCACCCACCTGGCTTTTCACTGCCCGCATTGCAACTTCTCCAGTTCCAACAAAAGCAGCTTCCAGCGGCACAAGAGGCAGGGCCATGCTGGGCCAGCAGAGCTGCGCTGTGCCTTCTGCCCCTTCACCACCTTTAACCCCGTGGAGTTCAGCGAACACATGGGACGCCTACACGCCAATGAGAAAACGCACCGCTGCCCTCAGTGTGAGTTTGTCACAGCGCACAAGCGCGTGCTGGGGAGGCACATGCTGCTGCACACCGGTGAGTGGAAGTCCCCGCAGACGCTTGATCTACATCGACCCGGTCCAGTCCAGCCCTGTTGATGGCTTGTGGTCTGTATTGCAGGCGAGAAGCCCCACAAGTGTAAGCTGTGTGACTTCCGGTGCCGGGATGAGACCTACTTGTCAAAGCACATGCTGACCCACTCCAGTGACAAGAACCACATGTGCTCCGAGTGTGGCTACGTAACCAAGTGGAAGCACTACCTGAATGTGCACATGCGCAAGCATGCTGGTGACCTCAGGTAAGGCCTTAACCAGTTCTCCAGCATGCCCTTCCTGCTTGGCTGTACATCAGAGCAGCTCCACTCTCCCCTCAGGTACCAGTGTGACCAGTGTCCATACCGCTGCCACCGCTCTGACCAGCTGAGCAGCCACAAGCTCAGGCACCAGGACAAGTCACTGATCTGTGAGGTATGCGCCTTCTCCTGCAAGCGCAAGTACGAGCTGCGCCGGCACATGCAGCTGAAGCATGGCGGTGGGGAGCAGCAGGTACCACTCTTCCAGTGCAGGTACTGCCCATACAGCACGCGCTACCGGCAGGCACTGCACAACCACGAGAACTGCAGGCACACGCGGCACCGTGAGTTCCGCTGCGCGCTCTGCCCCTATGTCACCTTCAGCAGCACTAGCCTCTTCTTGCATAAGAGGAAGGTGCACGGCTACATGCCCGGGGACAAGGCATGGCTGGAGAACTACGCTAAGAAGGAACGTGAGCAAGGCGGCACCACCAGGGGCTTCCCGGAGAAATGGGACAGGGTTATGGCGGGGGACCAGCAGGTGCCCTCTGAGGCAGGGGAAGCTCCCAGCCAATTGGAGGGTAGCTTGCAGATCATGGGTGGGAGTGGTGAAAACGAAATGACCGCAGATGCCACTACGTTCATGGATCAGGAATCTGAAACGGGCACAGAGGGAGCTGACTCGGAAAACAGGGTTGGCACTAACATCAGCAGTTGTCAGGTGGCTGCCACTGATGGCAACGATGGAGAATGTTGCCTGTTGGTTTTGACCTCCATAGTTCAACCTGAAAGCATGCCTGACACCTGCATGCCGGGAGATGTTGAGAGCAGGGGGCTATCAAGTTTGGAGATGCAGCTTGATCTTAAAGCATTTCCAGATGCAGGGGGGAGTCCCATGTGTCTTTCCCAAAGACAGAGTGAAGATGACCAAGAGGGGGCGCTGGTAGGGGACAGCGAAGGCCAGAGTAATAGAGAGAAGTCATCGATCCCCAAAGCCAATGCATCTGACCACATGGATGGTGCCGGAGTGGACTCTTCCTGCTCCGAGTCCCACCTCACGGTCCAGCGGAGGCAGGACAAGGAGCAGGCAGACGCCCTGGTGCTGGAGGGCCATGTGCAGATGCTGGTGATGGAGGCCAAAGCCCGGGTGCACCAGTGTGACTTCTGTGCCTTTGCCACATACACAGAAGCCGCCCTGGCACAGCACCGCCGTGTGTCCTGCAGAGCCAGGAGGACAGTGCTGAGGTGCAAGGACTGTGGAGCGATCTACAAACAGCAGCGTGGCCTGGACACCCACCGGCTCAGGAAGTGTCCTGTGCTCCTAAAGATGGGCAGGAGATTCCCTGTCCCGGCAGGACTCAGACAGCCAGAGGTTTCTGACCAACTGTCCCAGGATCAAAGGAAAGTGGATCATATTGTAACTGGGGCAAAGGACAGAGGAATGGGGCCACTTTCTGAAGAAGCGGTCACTGAGGCGTCAGAGGGACCCGAGAGACGAGGCATGGAGAGCAGCATAGCAGACATCCACATAGACACCCCGGAACACGAGAGAGACTCTAACATGGGCGAGACACATGCAGCAGGCAAACAGGATATGGATCTTGGGGAGACAGACTCTGTACCTCTCCCCTCAGGGACAGTGGAAGGGCAGGGATATAGTAAGGCTCCTTCTCAAACTAGGAGCTCTGCGGAGAATGAGGATGGAGTGTTAGGAGAGGGGAGCACTGAGGAGCAGGATAGCAGGAAGATAATGGAGAGGATGGGCCTCCGCTTCTTCTGCCCCAGTTGCCCGTTTGCATGCCATCAGGAGCGAGCGCTCAACACTCACCGCCGGCGAGGCTGCCTTAAGCCCGGTGATATCCAGTGCCAGAGCTGCTCCTTTGTGGCCAGATCACGTGAATCCCTGGAGCGTCACATAATGGTCCATCCAGGTCAGCGGCTCTCCTCAGCACCGCAGTGCCGGAAGGCCTTGCTCCAGTGCAAACTATGCCCATTCACGTGCAAGCAGGCACGCTGTATGACGCAGCATGTGTCCCTGAAGCACGAGGGCATGCGCCCCCACTGCTGCCGCTTCTGTGCCTTCAGCACCACGCGCCGTTACCGCTTGGATGCCCACGAGTCATTGCACACAGGTGTTGGTCGCCTGGCCTGTCGGCTCTGCAACCACACCTTTGGCACTGCCTCCAAACTGCAGCTGCACCAGCAGCGTGTTCATGACCGGCAGCCCACCCACTTTTGCACGCTCTGTGACTACGGTGGCTACAGCTCCAACGATGTGGCCCGCCACAACCTCAGCTGCCACACGGGGGAGCTAAAGTACGCCTGTGACCTCTGTGCCGCCCGCTTCAGCTCCAATGCAGCCCTTAAGCAGCACTGCCGTCGCCAACACCGGGATCCCGGCAACCAGCCTTGCCCTCGATGTGACTTCATGGGCCGCAGCCAGGCCACCCTTGTGGCCCACCTGCGGCAGCAACACCCGCGGCTGGAGTGCACCCCCTGTGGCACCGAGTTCCTGAGCCGCGAGGCCCTGGAGGAGCACCGCAGAACCCACCTGACCCAGCGCTGCCCAGCATGCCCCTTCGCAGCACGTGGGAGGCAGCTGCTCGCGCAGCACCTGCTGGACGAACATGAGGACGGCTTCCCAGAGGACAAACCGCTGAAGTGTGCTGCATGTGACTTCACCTGCCGTCACCAGTTGGTGTTTGAGCAGCATGTACGCTCGCATGGCGGCACCCGCCTGTACCGCTGCACCAACTGCCAGTACTCCACCCGCAACCGCCAGAAGATCACCTGGCACATCCGCATCCACACGGGTGAGAAGCCATATCGCTGTGAGCACTGTGGCTACACCTGCGCTGACCCCTCTCGGCTCAAGGTACAGTATGTCCCACCCACCAGTGGCTGACTAGCCCTCCCCTGTCTGTCGAGTGATTTCAAATTCAGTATTTGCTTGATTGGCCACGTACATCTACATGTACTAAGAATTTGTCTCAGCATTACTAGTGCATATATTCAAAAACCACATACAACATAAATTCAAAAGATACAAAGAAAACAGATTTAAAATTTAAGCTATAGCCCAAATCAGTACAGATTGCAGTCAGTAAACTGGTGTTTACAAAATGTACAGTATGTGCAACATGGCTCGATGGCTGAAACAGCTCTTCTCTATTGCAGTACCACATGCGGATTCACCAGGATGAGCGCAAGTACTTATGTCCAGATTGTGGCTATAAGTGCAAGTGGGTGAACCAGCTGAAATATCACATGACCAAGCACACAGGTAATGACTGAGGTCCCCTGGAGGTCAGCACAGGCTCTGCTGTCACTTCGTCTGCTCATTTATATAGAAATGCTTTGTTGTCCAGTGAGACTTCTGTGATGTCTCAAAAGGTGCCAAGCCATACGCGTGCGAAGAGTGTGAGTACCGCACAAATCGGGCAGATGCCCTACGTGTGCACCGCGAGACTCGCCATCGCGACATCCGCGCCTTCATCTGTGAGAAGTGTGGCAAGGGCTTCAAGACACGCTTCCTGCTGCGCACGCACCTACGCCGCCACAGCAACACCCGGCCCTATGTGTGCCGTCTCTGCCGCCGTGCATTTCGCTGGCCTGCGGGACTCCGGCACCACTTCCTCACACACTTGGAGTGCCAGCCCTTCTTCTGCCGCCACTGCTCCTACCGGGCCCGCCAGCGATTCCAGGTGGTCAAGCATCTCCGCCGGCACCACCCCGAGCAGCCCTCAGAGCAGGGTGTGGGCCAGGACCCAGGGCCACACTCTGTGTCACTGCATGAGGCCCGGCTGGGCGAGGAGGAACAGGAAGGCGGGTCAGGGGAGAAACGGGAACAGGAGGGTGGGCCAAGGGAGGAACAAGAGCAGGAGGATGTGTTGATGGAGGAATGGGAACAGGAGGGCAGACCTAGGGAGGAATGGGAACAGGAGAAGAATGAGCTGAGGGAGGAACAGGAACAGAATGGTGAGTCGAGGGAGGAACAGGAGCCAGAAGATTGGCAGAGATCAGAGCAGGAGTAGACCTCGGACTCATGAGTGCCCCCAGCTCTCGCCCTGAACTCTAGCAGTCTCACACAGGTAACAAGAGTGAGCTACAGAGTGGCACCTCTGTGTGGTAGCCTTAATCTTAACGCTGTGAGGTTTATCACACGGCTGCAATATTGTTAAGATACAAATTTTTGTGTCTTAAAATATTGTATCATATTATTTGTATCTTGTGATTCTTTGCCTTGAACCATGCGACACTGTAAGTGTGTGACCAACACTGTGTAGCCAAAACCAAACTTCATGAGTGGGTCTGTGTGTTGTATGTGATACCTCCCCTGCAAGTTCCTCACTCTGTTTCGTGTGTTCACTCTGAGGCCATTGACGAGCTTTGCCCCAGCAGTAAACCTGGGCCTATCAGGCAAATGACAGTCAGCAGCTGCAGCGTGGGGCTGGTGTCAGAGAAACTGGAAAACTGATAGTTCTTCTGAAATTTACATTTATTTAGCAGACACTGTTGTCCAAAGCAATGTATAAGCGAGGCAGGAAGTACAAGTAAACCAGCTCATTGGCTAATTATTAGTTCTAACATCAGGTGGCATTTAGATGGCACTGCAGGCGCACAGCTCTTTGATCTGTGTAATGTTAGCAAACAGGGAGGTTTGGACACAAAGGCTTTTTCCTTCTACATCAACCTTAATTTTGCTTCCTGTCCTGTTGTCTTCTGGTTTAAATTCACTATCCATTCACTATCCATTTACACTACACTGTGGAAGGAGGTCGCACTGGTATTTTCTTTTTAAGCACTTTGGACTAGACATGTTTAGAAAAGGCACTGTATAAAAATAAACTGAATTTGTGAATACTAAAAAAACCTGTGGCACAAAGTACATATGTTCAGAATCAAGATTATGTGTATTAATATTACTTATATAAATCTATAAACGTAATTAAGAAACAGATTAATAAGTGATACACTGCCTCTTCCTTTACTGCTCAGCCAGCAGCGTGAGACTTGGTGGGCTGACACCAGTTCAAGCCCAGTCTCAGCATGTCTGTGGGTCCTTGAGCAAGGCCCTTAACCCCCAGCTCCCTGGGGGCCACAACAGGTGGCTGCCCTTTGTGGCCAGCTTGCTCTCACCTACAGAGTGCAAGCTGGGGGAGTGATAAAGAGAATTTCTACATGGGGATCAATAAAGCATTGGTTGTTTTTTTTTTTTTTTTTTTTTTACTATTTCAGTGGGCGGCATGGTGGTGCAGTTGTTAGCACTGTTGCCTCATATACCTCTGGGACCAGGATTCGAGTGTGTATGGAGTTTACATGTTCTCCCCATGTCATCATAGGGTTTCCTCCAGGTACTCCAGTTTTCCTCCACAGTCCAAAGACATGCTGATGCTAATTACAGTTACTACTACTACAGTTCCACCACATCCCAAAGATGCTCTATTGGGTTGAGATCTGGTGACTGTGGGGGCCATTTTAGTACAGTGAACTCATTGTCATGTTCAAGAAAC